TTACTATTATTATTATTATTATTACTATTATTATTATTATTATTATATATTATTATTATATGTATTAAAAACATCAGCCTGTAATTTTAAATTCATGTATTTAGTTCGATATATATGTAGAAGCCACTAATAATTTATAAGGATAAATTGAACAACACCAACAGTTCTACTTAAACTCCTCATTATGGAATGTGAAGTAAGATAAGAATGACTACTTTATATTTTGCACAAACCTAACCAATTTTTGATGATTTGAGAGTAAGAAAGCTGTACATTTTTTAAAAATACTCAAATATTTCCTAATACAATATAGAGCTTGTCTAATATAATGCAGTTTTCAGTTATATTTGATATTTTTTCAGAATATGACAATCATGATGAACACAGAACAAAAACTTGTTAATGGTTACGAAAACAAAAATTATGTTATTTGTAGCAAAATCAACTAATTATGGCAAACCTTGTAAAATTAAGTTCTTTAATAAAAGTGTAAGATTTAAAATGTGTAATTTTAATATTTTAGAATAATATGTAGTGTATGCATTTCTATTAATATTATTATGCAGACTATGGTTAAGATTTATTTATTATATTAAATTTTAGTTGTTTGAGGAAAAGTACATACCCCAATAATTGGGAAAAACCATAATAACTGTGCAATCAATTTAAAATAGTTAGTTTCCGTATGGAAACTAATTATTTTAAATTGCCACATGTGGCAAATGTACATGACAAATGGCAAATGTGACATTAGCAAACGTGACATTGGCAAAAGACAAATGGCAAATGTATATGACAAATGGCAAATGTACATGATAAGTAGAAAATGTCAATTTTGTATCATACACGTAATGTAAATATTTATTCAAAAGATTTTTTTTATTGTCTTCTATTGACAATTTGAATGTTGCTTGTAATTATATTATATATATTTGTACTAAAGCATTTTTCTGAACTAATTTAAGTTGATTTTCTCTAAAATTGAGCTTTTGTCGCTTTAAATTAAGTCAGCAAAAACAAGTTGAGAATCAGGGAAAAGTCAGGGATATCCATCTTAAAATATTGGGAGACACCATGTATTATATTTAATTTATTTGCTTAAGGAAAACAACATCTTACATACCCTGGAACATTGGGAGAAGTATAGAAATAGTTGTTAGTAATTAAATATTATATTTATTTGAAGACTACTGAACAAAATCCACATTATTTCATGTTTTTAATTTTAATAAAAATAGCGTTTTGTGTTTGATGAATTTAGCTGTATATATGTTATGAGAAGCCGTGGCGCAGTGTCAGAAACTTGTTTCAGAAACGTAAGATCCGTGGTTCAAACCCCACCTCTGGACAAGTTTTGCGACATTGGTTGGGAAGGAGGCGTGAACTTCCTATTAAATGCTCTTCCGCGGTGCTCTGTGATAAGACCGTAAGGACTTCTTGGGGCACCTAAATCAACATTAAAAATATATATATATATATATATATATATATATATATATATATATATATATATATATATATATATATATATATATATATATATATATATATATATATATATATATATATATATGACTGTTAGTTGATTTCTGTACATAATCATATTCAAACATCTCATTATTTGTAATACTTTTTTTTGTAGTAAAGTTAAACACCAGTGCACGATGAAAAGAATGTATATACAGAAATTAGTTTCACTAGGTGTACAAATATGGGAAATTGTCGTTTTTCCTGTCTTCAACAATGCAAAAGAGTCTCAATCTTTAGTGGTATTTGTTATATTGTTGTTACAGTGTTGTGCTATATCTTGAGTAATAACTTCTTTTATTTATTTTTTCAAATTAACTTTAAAATTGATAACAGTTAATTAAAAATAATAATTTTTCTTCTGTAAACTATAGATTCAGGAGGGTATTGATCTATGCATTGTTGGTAACGAAGTGTCATAAAACAATATTAATTTAGCACAAAATCTCTTCAGAAGTTTAAAGTTTTACTTAGTCGATCAAAAAATATAAAAACAGAAAGAGTTACTTAAACAGAAAATTGCGACTCCGACTCCAATAGTAAAACTTCTTGGTATTGCACGTGCATGTATAAAACATTCAATTAACCTTATATTTATACTAAACCTCAAAGAACGTTTCATAAATTTGTCAAAAAACTTTTTTTTAACTTATCGCATAATATTTTTTAAAAAATCAAAAAAATTTTCAAAACTTTTGCTTTGGAATTGGAGTTGGAGTTGTACTCAAAAAATTTTAACAACTGGAGTCGGAGTCGTTACTTTTTTTTTACGACTCCGCACCCCTGCTGTAAACGATATAAGTGAGATGAAACTTGATTTAAAACAGAAATATTTGAAGAGTTAAACTGCGCGCAGTTTTATATTGCATTGTTTTATCACTTATTAAAAAGTTGACTTTCGTTATATATATAAATATATATCTATCTATCTATCTATCTATCTATCTATCTATCTATCTATCTATCTATATATATATATATATATATATATATATATATATATATATATATATATATATATATATATATATATATATATATATATATATATATATATTTATGTTATTTAAAAACAATGCTCCTATTGTATTAAATCTATACTTGTCTAATTTTTTTCTTATTTTTTCTTAGTCGAAATATTCATTGTTTTGTATGAAAAGCTAGATTTTCTATTTTAAAGCTATTGATCCCTTAAAAACTAAATCCATAGACCTGCAAAAAAATGCAAAATAAACATCTTTAAGAGTTTGTAAGTAAGTTAATATTATATTGGCGGAATAGAACAAGTCTAATATTATCTAGGAATAAGATAACTGCAAACTTAAAATTACATTGTTAAACAGTAGGGGGTCATAATGCATAAATTTAACCATTTTAAAAACTAAAAATTTGATTTGTATTCACATTTTAGGGATTTTAAAATTGTAAAAGAGGTAAATTTTTAATTAATTTGTCATCTAGGATGTTTAGAGATACTGATTCAATCATTGTTTAATAATTTCATTGACATTAGTGGAACCCAGAGCTATAAGTTTATACGAATAGTGTTTAAAGGGGAATCGACCTGTAGTTGGTTTATAAATTTAAATTAAAAATTTCTGTATGATTTAAGTTATTTTTATAAAAAATAAAACTCACATAAGTTTATACGTTCTTGATTTATCTACTCCTAAGTTTAATCTCTTTAGCAGCATTGACATTATTTTAATAAAAATTGTTTTTATTTTTGAAAAGTTTTAATAAATGGACATATGTCTTTTTCGAAATGAGAGTTTAACTTTGTCCACAACTGTTTATATTTATAAATCTTTAAAAGTTATTATGTTTTATATGGTGTATTTTAAATGTTTATATGACAACAATTTATCATCAAACTGTTTCTGTTAATTAGCGGTTGAATAACTATAACTCTACAATGCTACATTAATTTTAATAACTCTTCACGGAATGCAACAAACTTTAAAGTTTATAATTCTTGTCAATATTAAAGTTGCATCCGTAACAACGGGTTAAAGCAGATTGAGCAGTCGTGGTTAGAACGCTTGCTTTAGAAGCAAGAAATCCAGGGTTCAAAGCGAGCTCTAGGCATATTAAGCACCAACAGTTAAGTCTTAAAAAAAGTTGACTATATCTAGAATTTTCTTTTTTTTTTTAAAAAAAAAATAGTGGGAGGGGGTACGTTTCTCCTCCCGCCCCCCCCCCCTTCATGTCGTCGGCCCTGGTAAATCGAAAAAATCTTGGAATCTAATTAATATATTTTGCTAAATATTATTTTACTAAATTAATACATTTTTTTAATTTTAAATACTTTACTATCTTAAAAATTTCAAACTGACGTGTTTCCCATTTTAAAAATGAATTTTTATGGATGCACCGTGAGTTTAGAAAGCATAGTTCCAAAAACTACAACTACAAAAAAACTCCAAAAAAACAAACGTTTTTATTTTCTTATATCTTAATCAAAATTAATTTATAAATATTTTATAAAAAGTTTTTTTCTAACTTCTTGACAATATTATCTTTAATAATGAAAATTTTTTCTTGATAAACTCAAAGTGGGTGAGAAAATGTTTCCAAAAGTCAATAAACATTCCCTCCCACTTATTAAGTACCTGAGAACAGCCTTGTTTATTAACATGCAGAGTGCTTGGAATGGGTAAAAAAAGAAACTAGATAGTTTGACCAGAAAAAGCGAGAAAAACCAGATTGAATACGAAATTAGTTTACTTAATCACAATTATTTCTTGTTTCTATGGAAAAATGCATTATCTTGAGTTACTTTTTTTTGCGTGCAAAAAACAAATAAATCATTGTGGTGCTAAAGAAAAAAATTAATGAAGCAATAAACGGTTAAAACTGTTATATTAATGTGATATAACTCAAGGTGTCACCTTATAAAAAAGTTTTCGAACGTAAAATAAGGTTTAATATTAATGTTAAAACAATTTTTTAAATAGCTTTTACAAAGTATGTACAATGCTGAGAAACTAAACTGTAATGGAGTCATTTTTACTTGATCAACAGCAAAAAACTTTGTTATCGATATTATTTATTAATATATAAAAAACTGCAATGAATTTAAACTGTAGAAAATCTTTGTGCGTGCTGTGCAGTATTTTAGACCTACTGGAGTTAAGTATTAATTCGTAATTAAATTTGTATAATTGTAAGCTCTTGAAAACACAGCATAAAAACAAAAGATGGTGAGAAATTGTCATGACATGATAAGATTTGCCATTATTTGATATAAAATAACACAGCAAGAAACGATGAGACAGAAAAATAAAGTATAAGAGTGAATTTAGTTTTAACTTTTCAAGTACCAATTTTTAACCAGACAATAACTGTTAAAGGTATTATCAAAAACTACGCGAGTTTTGTTAGAAAAAAATGTTTTTGAAACCTCTGAGATTTAATTATAACTAAATTTCAAAAATAAAAAAATTTATTCAATATTTAAAGTAAAATGGCGCCTAATGATTGAACTTCATAAAATACCATATTAAAGCTACAACAAGTAATCCTATAAATCCCCACATTACCAAAGCAACAACAGCAGCTATTAAAAAAACTGGTTCCACAATATGACCGGCTAAAGTTAGGTTTGGAATGCCGAATCCACGAAGTCTATTGTTTATTTCATCTACAGGTGATCTTTCACCAATTGAAGTTTCTTGATGACGATTGTAGTTATTTGATGATAATCTTTGTGAAGAATTTTTTTTCTGTACCCAAGCTTTTGCACGAGGATCATCATCTTGAACAATTTCGCCATTAATTATTTTAACCATTTTGTTACTATGAATAAATTTAATATTTTTTTATTAAAATATAATTTTAATCATTATAAATATATATATATATATATATATATATATATATATATATATATATATATATATATATATATATATATATATATATATATATATATATATATATATATATATATATATATATAATACTCAGAAGTCATAAGAGACTTTTATTTTGCATGGCATTAAGATATATAGGACAGAAGCAACATGTAGCTGGGTTATATTTGGATCAATTTGGATCAATTTTAACAGATTCATTGGTTTTCTAACAACAATAATAGAGTTTTTCTCACTATTTGGAACTAAGTCAGAAAAAAATAGCAATCAAAATAAAGCTAAAGTTAAATAAAATCATTGCCCATATACCACCTGTCGTCTTATTTTCTTAATAGCAATACCTGCTACCTGTTTGTCAACAATATTTTTTCACTTTTTTTTTGATGTTCTTATTGGAAATGTTAATACACTAATTAAAATTTTATTTAAAATTTTCTGATCTCTTACTATTAACGTTTCTTAACTTTATCTACAGTCTAACATGTAATTTAATAAAATAATGACAAATAGCAATTAGGTTGGAAAGAAGATAGAACAAAAATCAATTAAAAGATTAAGCTTAGGTTAAAACGTTAAGGTGGTACACAACTAAAAATAAGCAAGTTTTTTGAAAAATATCAACTTTTAGATTTTTTGGTATTTTGATATATAATAATTCAATAAACATTAAAAAAAAATCAGTCTCAAAAATGATATAACAGTTGATTTAATATCATTTTAGTACATGGCAGTTGAAAATAAATTACCTAACAACGCCTTAGCAACCATCAGTCATATGAATTTTTATGAATTCAAAACAGTAAAACACCATCACAAACTTGATTTTAATGTGTTATATGCAGACTCTATTTAGTTTTCCGTTTTAAAAATCATATTTCAACATTTAATTTAAGAACAGGAATGTTTTACTTTTTTAAAAGTCATATTTCAACACTTAATTTAAAAACAGGAGTGTTTTGTTCTGTTTGAGTGTAGTCTTTTACACTGTAACTTTTCTCTCTTTTCAATTTTAATAGTGATTTCAATTTAGTTGGAATAAAGTTATTTTTAAATGAATAAACAAGGAAATAAAAGTTAACGAAAATTACCAAGAAGGATAAAACGAAAATGGAATGGTGTTATGGAAATAAAAAATCTTCTTCCTCTATTTCATCATAGTCCACAACTCAAGCAGCTAGTAGCTGTTCTTTCAGCCATTACTTTGAAGCATTAAGTTCAATTATATGGTCTTGCGTATCAAAGCACACATTTGTTAGTAAATCTACAATTGAAATGAAAACATACTCAGCAGTGCTGCATTATAATGATGGTGCTAATGGTGTATTGGAATTTTTAAAGTACTTTGGCTTGAATGGAATTGTTACATTAGCTTCGTCGAGTAAAGTTGTCAAAACCAGAATTCGGCATATGAAATCAAAGTCAATGGATAAAAGTAAAATGCAGAAAAAAAAACCAAGAGCAGTTAAAAGAGGTTTCATAGACAATCAGCAAGTAAAATAAACAACTGATAGTTACATCCCTGGTGGATTTTGATAATTTTTATGTTCTTATTATATATTTTTTTTTTATTTTTGCTTTTTTCTGAATATGTATTTTTTTTTAAATTGAAACACATTTTCTCATTAACGAAACAGAATTACCATAATAAAATTTTCAGGATTTGTTTATCATAATGTATTACTTCGTTTAACCCTCAGAATTTACATGAAAATTTATAGAAAGTAAAACATTGATGTTTAAAGTGTTGGATTCATTTTGTTCAAAATGCTATATTTCATGAAATAATTTGAATCACAAAAAATCCCACAGTTAAGCAGGGTGAAATATGATTAGGAAGCTTTGTTCAAAATTTTAGTTTCAGTTGTTGAGGCAAAATCAAGTTATTAGGTTTTGAAGATTTACTAAAAGCATGTGTTTTACAACATATTTTCGGCCATTATGGATAATAAAATTGAAAAAAAAAAAAATTTAGCTGTTTTTTATTTTATTTTGATATAAATTTATTTTCATGAAAAAAAAAAAAAAATCAAAATTTTGATTGTTTCAAAAAGAACTTATTTTCAGTTGTGTGCCACCTTAAGCTTAGGTTGTTTTTTTTGCAACATTTTCTGGTATTTTTATTGTATTCTTTTAATAAAACTAAAATAATAAAAAAGTAAAAAAGTAAACCTGTTATTGAGATGTAATGGGGTGTCCATAAATTACGTCACAAAATTTTTTATTGACCCCCTCCCCCTCATCACAACATTGTAACATTTTAGCAACAAGTCCCGTTTGAGTCCTCACATAACTACTCCCCCCCCCCCCCCCATAGAGCAACAATTTATAGACGACTCATAATTGAGAAATAGTTTTCATGATGTACAAATTTAACAAATATGGTTAAAAAAAATATATTTTGTGCCTGTTTTTTTGAAAGCACTGTGTATATACATTTACAAAACATTGTGTATATACATACACATGCTACATCATCTAATGTTTAGTATGGAACAGCAATCATACTTTTCTTTTTCTTCATTTTTAAAAAACTTAAAAACAGACATTTTTGATCCAAACAAATTTTATTAGTCGAGGGAGGGATTTTTTGATCCAAACAAATTTTATTAGTCGAGGGAGATCCAGACCATATACAGTGTTGAGACTATTAAAAAGCCATTATTTAAGAGCTGCCTTCAATGTGTAGAAATCTTAGAAAAGGAAACAAGTTTGTTCAAAAATTAACCCAGGTTTTTTTATGATCTCTCTGATTTTCAAATTTGATTGCTTATGATGTTCCTCAGCAACCATGTGTCGAATAGATCCAATTTTTAGTGAACTGGAAACTGTGTTAATTGCTATTGAGTTTCTATTTGTTGGAAACAAACCTCTATTTAAACCATTAAACCTCTATTTAGTTAAAATGTAAGGTTACCTAATTTAAATTTATCCTTAACTAAAATCCTAAATAGTAAAAAAAGTATATTTATGTGTTTGTTATGCAAGAAACAATGTATAACACAAAGTGACTCGTCACCTCAACATTAAAGACAAGGACAAAATTACTGGTAAACAGTTTAGTACAGAATAAAAGAAAGCAAAGGTTATTCATTTGGTTATGAAACTATATAGTTCAGATTACAAGGAAACTACAGATAAATGATACCCTGTTATAAGCTGAATTTAAAAATTTAAAATCAAGTATAAAAATTTCAAGCATTTCAAGAAGTCATTACAGCTTAGTCTCTAGTAAAAAAAATGTGACTAATTCATTTGATGGAAATGCTGAAATTTTTTACCACAGATTCTACAAAATATTTTCTGGAACAAATTCTTATTAAAACCTAGGCCAAAATTGTTCTTTTCTTTTAAGTTTTGAAGTAGCAAATCTTGTCTTTGTTTATCTGACTAGTACCTCTTTTAACGCCTAAGCATGTATCCCAATTAGTGTTCGGCAAAATCAAATATACGTCAAACCTTTTAAGATTTGAATTTGAACTGTTCTTTGAGGGGATAGATTTGAATTTGATTTGACAAATATCTGGAGGATTTGGATTTGATTTTCAAATATTCACTTTGTTCTCAATTTTTGCGTTTGAAAAAAAAACGCCTAATTTTACAAGCCCGCAAACATATATATCACTTTATTCCGGGGTCTTTGCAGTGGTTTCCGGAATGGCGGTCGCCTTTCAATAACGGAAAAAAAAAAAAAAAAAAAAAGAGTTTTTAATTAAAGTTTGTAAATATACCCCGTTCAAATCGCGTGTTTCATCAAACCCATGTAATGAGTTTGAAAACTATTGTAATGATACAAGTAAGCTAGATGGCGGCAATAATAGCAACATATTACTTTGGTGGAAATCTCGATCTGACAAATATCCAAACCTATCCAGAATGGCCAGAGATTACCTGGCCATTCCTGCTACATCTGTATCATCAGAAAAGCTCTTCTCATTAGGAAAAAATCTTATTACTGACAAAAGAAATCTTCTCTCTGCAGATACCATTCAAGCTTGCCAGTGCTTGAAGTCTTGGTTGGATTAAAAAGAATAAAAGAAGCTGTAATGTGTGAGAAATAGTAACAAATGCTGTAATATGAATAAAATTTATAGATTCAGATAACTAAAATTAATAAATGAAATAAGTTAAATAACGTTCAAATATACATCAAATCTTGGAAAGATTTGAATTTGATCTAAATTCAAAATAGGAAGATTTGAATTTGGCCATTTCAAACATTTGACGCATATTTGATCAAACTATTTGAATTTGTGCCGAACACTAATCCCAATACATTACTTAACAAAATATTCTATTATGACTTAGTGGGAATGTTTTCAATATCCTACAATTAGTTTCAGGTTCAACATGTCTAAAAAGTATCATGTGCAGTGTTTAACCTATATGCTTGCTGTTAAATGTGCATGATCCACTAATACTGTATATACAAGTTCGTAGATTTTATTTTGCAAAAGATAAACTGAAAGCTATCAAGATTTAAAAAAAATAAACAAAATTGATAAATTAGGAATATCAATTAAAAAACACCTTCAATTGAAACAAAGAAATTAAAGAGGAAGTTAGATGACTTAAACTTACTAAAACGGTTATTATCATAGCCACATATTTAAAAAATATTATCAGCATATCATTTATTTCTCCTAATAAAAGTAATAAAATAAATACTTAATGTGTATTTAATAGTTTTATGACACAGTAACTTTATAATAAAATAGTAATACAAGATTAATTAATAAAAATGATGTTTTTTCAATTTTTGTTTTATAAAAAAAAAAAAAAAATTTTTAAATAAATCTAATAAAATTATCTTGTAAATAATGCAAACAATTTTTACTTGGTTTCAAAATCTTTTTTTTTTTTGGCATGATTCAATACTATATTATTATAATACAATACTTTGTATTACCCATATAGCT